AATATAAACTTATAAAAAAAAATTTTAATTTATAAAATATAAATATTGTAAAAAAAATGAATCACTTACCGGTTTCACGCTTTCACCTATCAGTTTCACGCTTTACCCTATCAGTTTCACGTTTTCACCTATCAGTTTCACGCTTTGAGCTATCAGTTTCACGCCTTCACCTATCAGTTGCACCAATCATTGTCCTATCAGTTGCATCAATCATTCTCAGTTGCACCAATCATTATCCTATCAGTTGCATCAATCATTCTCAGTTGCACCAATTATTCTCTTTATCTTTTTTTTATTGCTCTACAGACTTGTGGGTCCCTTTTACCATTTATTTAATCAGATCCGCCTCCTCAATCCTCTTCATCTCTTCCGTGTTTTCTATAGCCAGACCACCAAAGGGAAGCATCTATCTATTTCAACTCATTCTCCTGAGAGATTTTAAATTTATTTTGAAGATTTTCTTTGAATATTAGGATAGATTTCACTAATTTTACTTGATTTCTTTTAATTTCATTGCATTTGATGAGACCCATTTGGGGTTTGACTGGCCTTGTTGGCGACAAATCTGCTGTTTAACCCCAATCTTGGTATGTTGAAACACCAAATAAGGTCTTTCTCTTTCTTTTCCTCCTTGAGTACATGTTTGTTTTCTCATAGTTTTCTTCAAATTCTCTTCTTTCCTAGATCCCTGCCCATCTACATCAAGCAGCAGCAAATAAAACTGAGGAATTAAAGTAAGGTTACATTAATTAAAGATTTCTCCTTTGATTATTTGGATGAGTTCATAAGCAGTTTAGTTTAATCTGTTGTAATTACCATCTAATATATTGATTTCTACTAGTCTCCGCTAGCTACTAAAGTTTTAGTTTGATTGAGGTATATGCTTGCAGTTAGGCCTGGCACATAGGTCGGATCGATGGGTTTAGATTGAGCTAACTTGGAGTTTGAGTTCATCAGGTTAGGTCATTTTGAATTGTGTTAAAGGGAGAGGGGAACGGTGCAATTGAAGTTGTTTAATTTTGTAATTTTTAATTTAAAAATGTTAATTTAAAATTTTTTATATAAATATATTAATTTTTAAATTTTTTATTTAAAAATATTAACTTTCAA